TATTTAATTTAGGAATGCTATGTTCAAAATACTGCAAGAGAGTACGCCAAGATATATGCAGCAGAAGCAAAGGCTCTGGAAGGCTTTGGAGAAGTGCCTGAGTATGTATATTATTCTGAGCTATACTGGCCATCTGGGGAAATTTTGCTGGGGAAGAAAAAAAAAACAGGCATGCTGAGAACATATGGGGTACCACTGCAGTCATATCTTAGATCGTGCGTGGTAACAATGAAATGGTAAGAATGATTCTTTCTTCTATGGAGAAAAGGAGTAAAATCCAATGAGTGGTGGAGATTTAGAAGCAAAGTGCCCAGTTCTGATCTCACACTAATATAAAGAGCAGTCCATTGCAAGTATCCCAGTGTAAACATGGTGGAGATGAGAGTCAGACCTCAAAGATTTCAATTAAAAATGAAACCTAGCAAAAAAAATGTAGCAATTCTGAAAGCCCGTGTTAAGTTCTTCTTCTTAGTCAAGTCACCTGAGCTCATCTCTGCTTAAGCAAAAAAGTTTAGCTCTGGTTATGGAACATCCCAGGATTGTGATGTTCATGTGGAAGGGTTGCCCCAGCATAGAGAGAGAGTTTGTCTCTGTATACAGATCGGAGGAGTAGTTCTAATAAAGACCCATCTCTGTACCTGAGGCTGTAAAGTGACACCTCATAACTCAGATCTTTTTCAAAGGATTTGCTGTTCCTGTGTGTTGCTACCATACATAGTCAGATGCCCTGAGGATGGTTGAAATTCCACCTGTCCATGACTCATCTTAAGGATAAACCCCACATGCCTGTGAACAGCCTAAGTCCACATTTCCTTCTAGATGATATAAGATATCTGCTTCAGCTGCGTCTGAATCACTGAAAAAGATTAGCATGGATGAGAGAACTATTTTCCTGGTAGCCTCTCTATATAGAGGGAGATGATTCCATTTGGACCCCAATCCAGAAAACAGTGAAATGAACCATATCTATATTAGGGGTGTAAAATCTGATTAATCAGTTATCTGGTTAAACCTTAGCTCCAGCTGCCAGCTGCATGGGGCTAGCTGCCAGCTCTTGGCCCTGCATGGGGCTCAGTGGGTCTGGAGCAGCTTTCTGCCCAAAGCAAGCTGCAAGCAGGGAGCTGATCCTGAGGAATGGGTTAATTGTTACCTGGTAAGCATCACCTGGTATGGGTGATAATAGCAGATAATGAGTCACATCCCTAATCTATATGCTGCCCTGAAGTGAGCTAAACATAAAACCATTGCTTTATCTAAAACAGCAGGTGGTTTTGGATTCACAGCATCTCTTTCATCTTTACTAATTAGAACCATTTATATACTTGCCATTGCCTGTGTATATATGTCAACTATTTCATACAGCACCAGAAGGAAAGATAAAGGCTGGACTGCTTTCTTTTGGTCACTGTGTGTGCAGTATGTGTGCTGCGCATGACTGGTTTTTATATTCTTCATAGCTCCTAGATAAAAACAGTCAATGCTGGGTTTTTGTGGGGAATGAACAGCAAAAAAGGGGCTCTCGCATGGAGTGTAAAGGGAGCTACAGGTGTGAGACTGCCTTAAAGAGGATTTTCCAGTGGAACCTTTTGGAATCATGCAGTAACAAAGGACTATAAGCCTTGTGGTTTTTACTGCAAGCTGCTGCCGCTGTTACTACTTTGGCCCCTATAGTTTTCCAGTTGGTGCTGCACAAATTGCAGCCTCTGTAATTCTCTGCTAAATCATCTTGTTCAGTACTACATGCTTTCCTTAGAACATGCTCCACAGAAGGGTTTTTATCCATTTAACTACATTGGTTAAAACACACACACACACACATACACACACACAAATTAAGTGTAGACTAGGCCTGAAAGAGCAATAAGGAAAAGTTGCTGCATGACCAGTGCCTGATCTCCAAACCATTTCAGGCCTCTGTATCTCTTCGGTAATATGGGCAACAGTGCAATTCATTTCAATAGGAGCTCTGTGCACCCAAATTATGCTGGAAATCAGGCCCCTTAAACACTGCTGTTTCTAGAAGGACTGAAGTGTCCTTGACCGTTGTACTTCTGGGTGAGACCACTACCATTTTGGCAGGGTTGCTTTAAGGCAGGGATGGGCAATAATTTTTGACTGGGGACCACTTCAGAAATGTTTGAAGTGGGCCCAGGCCACCCCAGAAGGGGCAGGGCCTCAGATAAAAGGGGTGGGGCCAGGACACTTCCCCACCTGCAGACCTTGATTGTGTTGGTGGTGGGGGAGCATGCAAAGTCACCCCACCCACCCCACCCCAGAGAGAACCTCCAGCTCCCTGCCCCCACCCTGCAAGGAAGCACTGTGTTTAGAGTCAACCGCCAGCTGAGTAGCAGCTGGCAGTTGACTTTAAACGCTGAGCCTCTTGCAGGGCAGGAGGAAACTTCACATGTTCTCCGCACCCCCAACCCCTGATTGGCCTGAGGGTGGGGGAAGCGCAAAGTCTCCTCCCTCTCTGCCCCCGTCCTGCCTGGAATGTGTGGTTCTTAGAAGTGCCATGTCCCTTGCAGAGCTGGAAGAGACTTCACGCACTCCCCCCACCCCAGGCCAATCAGGGCTTGGGGGCCAGGGGAGTGCACAAAATTCCTTCTGCACCACACACTCCTTTCAGGGTGGGGCTGGGCAAGAGGAGACTTTGTGCACTTCCCCCCACGGCCAGGCCCTTATTGGTCTGGGGGTGGATAGAGTGGCAGGGCCTCTACGGGCCAGATCCAGTTCACAGAGGCCCTTTTGCCCACCCTTGCTTTAAGGGATGATGGTGGATCATGCAGTAAAATATAGAGGACCATACTTTTCTGGGGTTTGCAATATATTCCTGTAAATTGGTTATCACTGGCCAGGAGATCTTGTGAGCTATATAATAAAAACATGGCGATTCTTTGATAAACTCCACCTGACTTAATAGTTTTCAAATTGCATTAGCACAATGAGATACTGGGGCTTGATTCCATTCAACTTTGCATCACTGTCATTCAACAGACTAAAGTGGAATTATGCTTAGGGCTTATCCTGCTGCCCTTCACTGTAGTAGCAGGGCACTCCTCCTGAGCATGCCTATGTTACTACAGTTTATATGTGAACAGGATCAGGCGCACCGTGAGGTTTCAATGCACTTCTCAGAGTCTGAGATTCATCAGCAATGAATTCTGGTAACCAAGAAGTTTGTGTTGACAACAAGACAAGTAGTTTCTCTAGATCATCACCACCCTTAGCAAATTCAAATATGTGCAAGCTAGACATGCAAAGTTCATCAGTTTCACTTTATATTCAATATACGCCCTCGTTGTTTCTTTGAGAAGACTCTCAAGCTCAAAGTGAAACTGCTGCAGTTTGCATGGTTTTAGATTGTAGTCAGTTTCATATCTATTCTATTTTCATCCCTTACCATAAATAAGCCCAGGGTCTGGAAAATCCAACCCAGGTTCATGGAAGGCTTTGCAAACCTTTTAAGGAAAATTAGTTCAAGTTCTGAGTTTGAAAAAACTAATTTTGAATTTCCATACAAAACGTCAGCTGGAGCTGGCTGACAAGTTCTGAACTAGATACAAACTTCACCACAATTTTATGGATTTTTTATATCCAAGGCTTTAGTTTGAGCCATTCTATACGAAGAATCTAAGGATCCTCTAAAAAGAAATTTTTGTATTGCATCCTCTTATTACCTGGAAAAACAGTTATTTTAGTCTAAATTTTCAAATGTGTTAACTACCTGGATGCTTCAGGCTTTAGATGTGTGGCTTGAGAAATCAAGCCATGAAGTGTATCAAACACTGATCACAAATAACGCTCCCCTGGAAGTCACTGGGAGATAAAGGGCCTCAGCAACTCTAAAAATCAGGCCTTTGGCTGCCAAAATTGACACCATAAAAATAATGCACCCAAAATTAGTTAAGATTTTTAAAATGTAGACCTTCATTTTCAGAATGTACAAGGGCGGCATAAAACTTAATGCAGAGGGGTTTAGAATTGACCCAAGCGAATCAACATAATTTCTAGATCATTGCATAGAAAAGGATCCAATTCCTACTAAAATGATTTATGGTATCTAACTTGACTCAGCCCTATTATTTTTTCTATTGACTGTCTGAAACTGCATGTTGCTGGACAAAAAGTCTCTCTCTTCACTTTCCCTGAAATCATTAAGGTTTTTGGGGGTTTAATTTCAGGATAATTCCTATTTTCCTTGTGCATCGTCCTGAGAATAATATCCCTTATGCAACCGTGGAAGAGGAACTGATTGGAGAATTTGTGAAGTATTCTGTCCGGGATGGCAAGGAAATCAATTTCAAGAGAAGAGACTCAGAAGCTGGTCAGAAATGTTGCACCTTTCAGCACTGGCTATATGAGAAGACCAACGGAAACTTGCTTGTTACAGATTTCCAAGGTGAGAGCTCTGATCCTTACATGAGAACTGCCATACTAGGTCAAAGCAATGGTCCATCTAACCCAGTATCCTGTCTTCTGACAGCAACCAATGTTAGATGCCCCAAGTATGTCACAGTTACACCATGCTATCACTCTGACAGCCAATCACTCTGTATCTCAGTAGCTGGACAGATGTTCATAGTAGATCTATGCAACTAGCAGCAGTGAGCCTCACAGCCTCGTCTGAAAAAATTGCGGGGGAGGAGGGGTGGCATGTTTGCACAGCTGAGCCAACAGCCTCCACCGGCCTCTGGGCAAGGTGGGGAGGACCAGTCCTGTACTCCCAGAAGATGCAGAAGGGGCGGAGCCGAGGGCAACCATAACTCACTGCTGCCTGGGACGCAGCATAACCCTCCCAGAACACGTAGCATTCCAGTGACAATTTAAAGGGCCCAAGGCACCAGCTGCTGAATTGCCCCCTTTTTGCCCTCCCCCCCCCCATCGGTGAGCCTGCGTTTGCACTCTAAAAATAGCTATAGCCATAGTCTGATCTGAAGTTGCAAAGTGGGCACAGCTCAGACTCTGAAGCCTGTGGATGAAGGTAGTGCACTCTGAAGTGTTGTCCACATAGACATTTTAGCGCTAGCACAAGCCTTGCGAGCCCATGTCTGTTGACCCAGGCTGGGAGTCTCGCTGCCACAAGCTGTGGAAATATACCTTCAGGGCCTCATTCCAGCACAACTCTCTTCTTTGCTCTCCTCAATATGCTGAACTTCCAAGTGTGTTCACATAACACCGACAGACCCCAGTTGTCACTGGCCAACACAAGCTTCCCCTGGGGGAGGCTAGCTCCCTGTCTCACCTCTTCCACCCTACCCTCATTCCACCTCAGGCCCCTTGACTGTTCCATCCTGCTTCTACTTCAACCCTCCTCTCCTCCGCACCTGTCCACCATGTCCTCCTTCTCTTAGGATCCTCTCCCCCATGGTGGCAGGAGGGTGAGGAAGGATGCAATGGGGTGGGGAGGTCTCACAGAGGAGGGGTGTGGAGAAGAGGAGGGACAATGCAGGCAGAAGATGGGGGAGTGTCTTGTGAAGAAGGGGGTGGAGGAAGGACTCCGTGGACAGGCAGTCTTGTGGGAGGACTGGGAAGGGACATGGCAAGTGGGGAAGCCTCACGGAATGGGTTGGAGAAGAAGAGGGATGTGGTGAGCAGTGGAAATCTCTGAGGAGGTTGGAATGGAGGAGAGGAGCAAATGATCCTCTATTCATGAGCTATAAGACACGTCTATTAGCTAAGACTGTAGCAGTCCCATCAATCCCTAGCTAGTCTAGCCACCACTAACAGGGGAGAGAATGCCACATTAAGCGGGCACAGGTTATCCTCCCTCGCTAACCCTACCACGTAAAATGACTTCTCGTAGGCAGGGACCAGAGAGATTGCTGTTGAACAGATCATGTCCAGTGCCCTGGCTGCACACCTGCTAGCACACTTAGGCTATGTTTAGACTACATCCCTCTTTCAAAAGAGAGATGTAAATTAGACATATCGAAATTGCAAATGAAGCCAGGATTTGAATTTCCCATGCTTCATTTCATAGTATCATAGAATACTAGGACTGGAAGGGACCGCGAGAGGTCATCGAGTCTAGTCTCCTGCCCTCATGGCAGGACCAAATACTGTCTAGACCATCCCTGATAGACATTTATCTAACATCCTCTTAAATATCTCCAGAGATGGAGATTCCACAACCTCCCTGGGCAATTTATTCCAGTGTTTGACTACCCTGACAGTTAGGAACTTTTAGCCTGAGCCATTCCCACTGGAGTCAAAGGAGTTTTGCTATGGGTTCAGTGGGAGCAAGAGAAAAATGTAGGGCATGAGGAACTCTTTGATCACACAGAACCCATCCAGTCAATCGACTGTACATTATCTAGGAGCAGGAGGACAAAAGGGACAAGCTGTATTAGTAACCATAGGGTGAAATAGCATGAAGCCTACTGCACCACTTAAATATTACTATAGGCTTGGAAGTCAGACTTCAATGGTGCACAGTCTGTGCTGCTCATCTACACAAGGAAGAATTTCACTTTCAATGATTTGTCCTAGGCTATAGACGGAGACCCACTTTCAGCTCCCCATTACGCTGATGTCTGGCGGGACTGAAAGAATCTACCACTCCAGGATCTGGCCCCCCCATACAGCATGTGTTTTGATATGTGAGTTCTGAATGGCCCCAAGATATGTTTCCATGACTGCTCTCAACCATTTCCTTGTCCTACTTGGAGCTCTAAACTGGGTCTCAGAGAGGAGTTTATTCCTGGGAGCCCTAGGCAGCACTTCTCCTCACTCTGCCAGATGTTCAGCCTTGTTTTTATACTTTCTCCAGACCATTCTGGACAAAAAGAACCATATGGTACTCTCACCTGAGTCTACCTGTATCATTCCTGACATGCTCCCCTTGCTGTGCTGGTCTCCTTGCAATGCTGCTGGCCTCAGTAGTGAGAGACTGGAACCAGGAATCACACCTGAACCTCTCAGGCAAACCAGGAAATCACATGCCTCTGGCTTCCAATGAATATGTTTGTACAGTGTCTCAGACAATGGGGCCCTGGTTCATGATTCCTATGCTTTATTGCAGTACAAGTAAAGAACAGCAACATCATTCACAAGAATTAGCTAATTAGATGATACCCTATCAGTATAAACATGTCTGTAAATTACTGTTATCAAAAACTAATTGTAATAGGCTTTCCTCCCCTTAAATAGCAATTCAAACAAGTATTATGCCCCAGGACCTCAGACAAATTATTAAATAGGGACATAGAATTTTTTAAAGTATATTCTTTACAGTCTAATTGAAGCACTGAGATCCACCTAGTTATTACAAAAATATCAAAAGTAATTATAAGCGCCTTTGACAAAGTGACTGGAGAACGATACAAATATGGGTTTAGAACAATTAAAATGCACAGCCTTTTGATATGGCATCTCACATGGGACAGAATAAAAGCTTTGCAGAGAGGTTTCCAATTTTTTCTTTTCTGATCTCTAACGCAGGCCCTGTAAGTGGGTGCTCTGTTGGCCGTGTGTTCTCCACACTCACAGAAAAGAAAAGAATTAACTGCTTGCTGTGCAAAGTACTTTAAATAGGCTCATTGGCACCCATGGTGTGGTACTGTGTTCAACTGAAGGAGCTGAGGGAAGGGACATTCATGGCTGTGTTTCTGGAAATAAACAGCTTGGGAAGAAAAAAATAGTCTCACCATCTTAATAAGAGATTTAATTTTACCACAAATGCACCTTAGTAAATCAAAACACTCATTGCAAGGCTGACTATTGTCTGCTTGTCACCTCACACTGGGATTTATGAATTGCTTTGTGAATTAAAAGACTAAAAACAGCACCCTGTGCCCTCACTTTGCCTTACATTTCAATATCTGACACCTGTCTTCAAAACCAATGGAAATATTCACACCCAGGCGCCTGACCCTGTCTGAAGAAATGCCCTCCTTACATCCAGAGAATGCTGCCATGACACTATTATGTGCCTCGCTCACCCGCAAATATTTGGCCTTAAAAGAAGCACAGTCTGTCTTCACTACGTTGATGAGGGAATAAATAGAGCAACAGCCCTGGCTTGTGTTCTGCAAGGAAAGGTGGAATATTTTAAACAGCACCATGCTCTACCCTTTAAAATTAGAAAGCTGGAAAAAATGCAAATGAATTAAGAGGTAAAAGCCTATAGGGCAGGTCGGAGCAAAATACAGTTCATGGGCCAGATCCAGCCTGACCAGCCACAGGATCCTGTCCACAGACATAGCAGGGAGCCCCTGGCAGATTCCCTTGCTTGTCCCACACACCGCTCAGTGTCATGGCAGCAGGGCCGTTTGTCTTTCAAAATGGTGATCCCGGAAGCAAGGGGGGGGGGAAGGCTTCGGGTGCTGCCCCTGCCCCCAGCACAATACCATTGGCCAGTTTTCCCCAAAGCAAGGGGGGGGGGAAGGCTTCGGGTGCTGCCCCTGCCCCCAGCACAATACCATTGGCCAGTTTCTGGCCATAAACTGGCCAATGGGAGTTGCCTGTTTAAACAACAAGCAGCACACAAAGCACCATGCCCACCTCCCCTTTGGCTCAGTTATTCACGCAAGCACATGGCCCTGCAGGCTGTGCAGGCGTGGGGCAGGTGAGTGGGTGGGCGGGCAGGCAGGCAGGCTGAGAAACGTTTTAAACTCTGCAAGCATTTAGCTCTGCACGAAGGCAGGCTGGTTAGTTTGCTGGCCAGCACTTGCCTCTGGCACCCTAGCCCCTCTCTTCCCCAACCCTCTCCCCAGATCACAATCCCTTCCTATCTTAGGTTACAACCCAAACTCCTGTGCCGCAGTCCCCGCCCATAGGTCACAAACCAAATCCCTGCATCCCAGTCCCCTGCCCTAGGTCACAAATGCTTCCTTCATCCAAACTCCCTGTCAGACTCCACTCTCCCTCCTGCATCCCAATCCATTATCCCAAGCTCTTTCTGCACCCAACCTCCATCCCAGACTTCATACCTCTTCCATCAATATCATGGAAGAGTGCTGCCCTCGACCACTTTCCAAAATCTTGGAGTGTCCCCCCTCAAAAATTGTTGCCCACCCCTGCTATAGGGCAAAGTCCTGGCCTTATGAGTGTGAGGCATTCTGGAGTCAGGAAGCAGAGTGGCTGAGTTATCATGTGAGCCTGGGAGCTATATCCTCTGTATCGGTTCTTACCACTGATGTTCCAAAAAATGAGCATGTTGTAAATCCTGCTGACAGCAGCAGCATCACAAACAGGGACCAGGACCCTGTACATGCTCCAAACTTGCTGGCCACATCCACTTAGAGTGGCGTGGCTGTGGAATGGGTATCCTGCAGTATACCTGAGGAAGTGCTAGATCTGCCCTATACTCAGACACCTGCTCGGAGGAAGAAGGAGGCTCTCTGTGTCACCATCTCTGCACAAGACAAGTGCACAACACAGGGACAGGACAATAGCCAAGTGGGGTAAAGTAGGAGGTGGAAGGGCTTTTTTGGAAACACTGAGCAAAGAGTTTAATTTAGTTCCAAGTGTCACTCAAAAGACTAAACAGAGCAAAGATTGATGGACCATTTTGATATTCAAAGAGATTTCTCTACCGGAATACTCCCACTTGCAAACATCCAAATACCAAAATCCAAGCACACTAAATGACCCACATTTGTCTCTTTGCAGATGTAAATATTCTGATGCTGGATTTAGATGTCCTCTTAAGGGTACATCTAGACTACACACTTCTTTCGAAAGAAGCTTTTTCAAAGGAATATTTCGAAAAATCTTCTTTCAAAAGAGATCATCTAGAAAGCCACAACTTTTTTCAAAAAAGCGAACCATTTTTTTGAAAGAGAGCACTCAGGCAATCTGGATGCTCTCTTTCAAAAAAGCCTTGTTTGCAGTCAAGAACGCCTTTTTTCGAAAGATCTCTTTAAAAAAAAAAGGTGTTCTTCCTCGTAAAATGAGATTTACCCTGTCGAAAAAAACCACTGCATTCTTTCAATTTAATTTCGAAAGAAAGAGGCAGCAGTCTAGACACAGATGACGTTTTTTCAAAAAAAGGCCACTTTTTTCGAAAAATCCTGTAGTCTAGACATAGCCTGTGAGGCCACAGTTAAAGTGACACTCTCAGCTACCGTCCAGTATAGGAAACACTCCAAAGCCTTAGGACTCCACTTATCACCCTGTTTGTGAATCACTGGAATGCTACTGACTGCTACTAGAACCACAGACCAAAAACACTGTGTGTGAGGGGAGAATGTTAAAATATTGTCACTACACAGAGATGACTGAAACAATCAATCAATAAAGAATAACTAGCTGTATATACAAGACTATATGTCTGAAGGCAATCCTAGAAAGCCTGGTTTAATGAAAGCTCCCTATTTTTGTTTTGTAGGTGTAGGAATGAAGTTAACTGACGTTGGCATAGCAACGTTGGCCAAAGGGTGAGTGAAAGACATTTCTTAATGGAATATATTTGCATTGTGCTTCAAATTCCTCATAGTGTAAACCCAATGGGGGTTGGTGCATTGGAGAGCTATTTCTCATCATAACTTTAGGAGAAAAACAATCACAATGTGACTTCTGTTAACCTCCTCATGTTCATAAAATATTAATGGGAACTTTCCTATCAGGAAAATAAATGTGTTTTATTCTATGAAGGAAAGCAAACATACTTGAAGTTTTGCTCTGTTGAATTTTTTCATAAACACTTTATCTTGGAAGAAATAAGATGTCATTGGTATTCCCCACACAAATAATGTGGTCAAGATTTTATTTTCTATTTGTTTTTCTCTCCAACACAATACAAATAAATAGAATTGTTAATATTTAATGTTTTAGTTCCTATCTTACCCATTATACAAAATTATTTGAAAAATCCAGGAGATGTAATGATTCAGGGAATAGGTAATGGGATACAGACCTACATTTTCAAAAGTGATTTTGGGTACCCATTTTGGGATATTTTGAGATATCGATTTTTGAGATATTGATTTTCAGAAGTGCTGAAGAATCACCTTCTGAAGATCATGCCCCATAAGGCACATCAGTTTGAGCATCTGTGCATCTGTGTCCAGGGCCGGCTTTAGGAAGTGCGGGGCCCAATTCAAACCAAATTTTGATTGAGAAAAAAAAAAAAAAAAAAAAAAAACCACCCCCAGCACACAACTAACACACAACTAACAGCTCCTTTAAATCCCCAGCTACAGGGCAGAGTCCCGCCTTCCAGCCAAACTTCCCCTCCCGTCCTTCCACAGCGCACAGAAGCCGCTGTGCTCTTCCTCCAGGGCCAATGCTCGCTCCCGCAGCACGCCCGGCATGCCAGCACACTTCCGGGGTTAGGGTGCTGGGCCCTCTGGCTTTAGGGTGCGGGGCCCTTTTAGGTGTGGGGTCCAATTCGGGGGAATCAGGCAAATCGGCCTAAAGCCGGTCCTGTCTGTGTCTGTATCTATGTGTCCAATGCAGCTATATATAGGATAGTAACTTGATGCACAAAAGAAACTCATTTAAGGGTTTACTAACATTTATTTCATTGCAAAGCATCCCCCCCTTCTGGAAGACAAAAATTTCTTGAAACAGTCAAACAGTATCCATGGCAATCAAAAGCAACCTGTCTCCTAGTGACTCTGAAATTATTCTAGCTGTTCTTAAGAAACAAATATAGGGAATCCCACAACAGCAATAAAAAGCTTAACCCATTTATGTTATAATTCTTTTCAACGTCTCCCAAAGTCCTTCTCTGTGTATTTTGCTTGTGGAATTTGCCTGAAACAAAATGGTGATATGGAGATCCATTAATGAGTGTCCAGGTAGATTAAACTGTTCTCCAACAGTGTATTGCCTTTTCGGACATCTGATTTGTGTCCATTAATTCTTTTCCATAGAGACTAACCAGTTTGGCCAATATACATGGCAGTGGGGTATTGTTGGCATTTGATGGCATAGATCACATTAGTGGATGTGCAGTTAAATGAGCCTCTGATTTGGTACTGATGTGGTTGGGTCCAGTGATGTACATGTGTGGGCAGAGTTGGCACCGGGGCTGATTGCAGGGGTGGGTTCTTGGATGATTTTGATGGAGGTATGTTGTGTGGTTATTGGAAAGAATTTGTTTAAGGTTAGGGGGTTGTCTGTAAGCAAGGATTGGCCTTTCCCCTAAGGTCTCAGGTAAGGGATCATTTTCCAAGATAGGTTGCTGATTGTGTATAATGCGTTGGAGGGGTTTGAGCTGTAGACTGTAGGTAATGATAAGAGGACTTCTGTTATTTTCTCTTTTGGGCCTGTCTTGAAGTAGTTCATATCTGGGTACTTTTTTGGCTCTATCAATCTGTTTTTTCACAACTACTTCCATATGTGTTTCACCCACAACTACTTCAAGTCAGCAGCACAGCCATAGGCACCCGCATGGCACCACAATATGCCAACTTCTTTATGGTTGACCTTGAACGTTTCCTCAGCTCTCATCCCCTAGTACTCTTACTCTGCTTACACTACATTGATGACATCTTCATCATATGGACCCACGGGAAAGAAACCCATGAAGAATTTCACAGGGATTTTAACTACCTCCACCCCACCATCAACCTCAGCCTGGATCAGTCCACATGAGAAATCCACTTCATTGACACTACAGTACAATTAAATAATGGACAAATTTCCACCACCCCATACAGGAAACCTACTGACCACTACATTTACCTTCATGCCTCTAGCTTCTATCCCAGACACATTTTTCAGTCTATTGTATACAGCCAAGTCCTAAGATACAACTATATTTGCTCCAAACCCACAGACAGAGACAAACACCTACAGGATCTATATAGAGTATTCATAAAACTGAAATACCTACCCAGAGAAGTGAAAAAACAGATTGATAGAGCCAAAAAAGTACCCAAGGCATGGAGTATATTTGCTTCCCTTGGACGGTAAGTGGTCATGCTTTACCACCATGATATCACTTGATGCTAAATCATGATGCTTCAGGGCACTTCATCCCCTAGAGTCCACTTCCTTAGTCCTACAAAGACTTTTAAATTCTGCCCATTTCCTGAATAAGGAAAGTTCTGAGTGTAAATCTCAGTACTTTCAAATGAATAATTCTGCTCACCTCAGGCTACTGTGACATTTTCTGCATCTTAGCACCTATTCCTGGGCTCTGCAGAGATTCTATTATGCTGCTTCCTCCCAGCAGACTTTCCCTCATTGCCGCCCCTCCCTAGGACTTCTCACAGCTTCCCTCAGAGAGATCCCTGGTCCTGAAAGGCCCTATTTCAGTGCTCCTCCATAAGGGCCTAACTTGTTGGCTATGGATAGGCTGCTTCCCACCCATGCTCCTCTCTCCTGGGTCTCTTCCCCAAAGTGAGTTCACAACTCTGTTTAAGTTGTCCTCTCCCTGCTCCCTAGCAGCTGAGGTGAGTCAGTATAATTAAGTCTCCATCAGCCTTAGATAGGGGATAGATGTCTGGTCACTGGCAAGTCTGAGCCTGGGTTGCTTTAAGGGGTGGAGCAGCCTGTGGCAGTGGCTTAAGAGCATTCCAGAGTTGCAGCATCTTGCCTTCTGTCCTGTTCAGATTATATCAAGGAGCACACAAGCAGTCATACCAGGTCAGAGCTATGATCCATCAAATCTTGCATCCCATTTCAGATACTGGCATACACCAGATGCTCCACAGGAAATTATAATAGCCCCATAATGAACAACATAGGTATCTGCTGCAGGCAGTTAGTTGATGACTCATCTCCAGAAGCCTGGATGTTGTTATCCCTTATACACAATATCTTGGGGTACATCCAGAGCTGGACCGAGACATTCCGGCACCCCGGGCAGACAGGTTAATTGTGCCCCGGGTTGGGGGAAGGCGCATCATAGGGGACAGCGCATGCGCGGCCCCGCCCCTGCGCCAGTGTGTGGGGAGGGCGCATACACAGCCCCGCCCCCATGCTTGTGCATGGGGGAGGGCGCATGCGCTGCCCTGCCCCTGCCCGGTGCGCGGTGCAGGGTGAGCGGAGCTGGCGGCAGCAGGACGCACGTGCCTATCCCAGCGCCGCCCGGCTACCGCCGCTGGCGTGCAGCCTGGGGCCGCCCAGGGCGGGCCAAGCCTGGCCATGAAGATCCCTGCAGCTGTGGGGGGAAGGGCGTTGCTGGCCGGCACTGCGGGGGTTAACGCGGCCCCCACCCTGGGTGGCCACTGCAGGATTGCCGCTGGGAGCTGCTGCAGCCCACGATCGAGGAGCTGGGCGCATGGTGCCTGATGGCAACTATAAGGGGCACTGTGCACCCCTTACAGCTGCCATCAGGCCCCCCCCAATAGGTTGGAGCCCGGCTAGCCCATGCCTTAATCCGGCCCTGGGTAGGTCTATGCTGCACAACTATTTCAGGATACCAGAAGTATCCCAAAATAACTGCCCCACATTTTACCAAGCCACTCATTAATTCCAAATATTTTTCGAAATGTGGGTCTGCTATTTTGGCATCCCTGTATCCCTCATTTCACGAGGGTTAAGGGATGTCTCGAAATAGTGTGTTATTTTGAAATTTGGCACTGTGTATACATGCCAAATTTCAAAATAAGCCATTTTGAAACAGAATCAAAATAAGATATGCAATTTGCTTAGCATATCTTATTTTGAGTTTAGGGTACTGTGTAGATGCACCCTTGCAGAAGTGAGTTGTGCAGATTAACCATACATGGAGAAAACACAAATTTCCTTGTATCTGTTTTTAAATGTCATTCATCTGCTGAGATATTTAGCAATTCCAACCCTGCCTCCCATAACTGCTGTGAAATTTTGCACCAGAGAGAAAAGAACACTCCTTTCAATATTATTTTAACAAGCCCGTTGTTTCCTCAATTAATGCATACTATTATTTTCTCTGACTTTATTGTGTGTTGTCATAGTTCTGTTCCCTTGCATTCTTCTTGGATAGATGATTGTGACAACCCATTTAAGTTGGGTTCTTCTTTGAGAAATCTGTAAAAAAAATAGTCTTTGTACATATTGCTGAGATAAGTTCTATGTGGTTCTCTATATGCCAGAGGCACAGAAAAAAGAACAATGCTTTTACTCCTCCTCCACCTCCTTTGTAATATCCCAGAATATTCTGGGAAACCCCTTGACATTTTGAGCCTGGCACTTTTTCAAATTTTAAATTGATTTTTTTTTTTTTTTTGCATTGGCTCCAAAGCGAAATTATTTGAATTAGTCTCTCATCATCGAGCTAGGAAATAAAGAACTCATAAAAGTTTTAATTATGTAAGACTGTGCTCTGGAACCTGATGATTTATAGGAAGGTTTTAATGAATGTTATTATACGACACACTATGGGAAATTATGCTGATGAAAACACATCTGGGACAAAGAGACAGGAAGATGAGGTCAGACAAAGAATGTACAGTAAAGTCTGAACTAAGAATTACCACAAACAGACACTCTTTGTCTTAAG